GTAGAACGTGTACTGCTCCTAACTATGCTCTCATTGTTGGTATTGGCCATTTGTATCTTCTCTCTTTTTTTGCTCAGTATGGGTGGATAGTCATCAATTTTATTAACTTTTTCCCCTAAGGGCATGTTTTTAAATTTTAACTTAAAAAATTAAAGAGGGGAGGGGATGGAAAGAAAGAGGGAGAGAAAGAAGTATGGACTTGTTGTCCCACTTATTTATGCCTTCAGTGGTTGACTCCTGTGTGTGCCCTGACCATGGATTGAACCCACAACCTTGGTGTATCAGGATGATGCGCTAACCAACTGAGCTATCAGGCCAGAGCCTCTAAAGTGTGGTTTTAGTTTAACTGATCTTCTGTGTTGTTTTCTGTTTCTATTTTAGGGATTTTTGGTTTTTTTAATTCATTTTTTTTTTCATTTCAGGTTTCATTTACTCCTTCTAGTGTATATAGGTAGGAACTTGACATAGAGCTGAGATCTTTTTTGTCTAATAAAAGTGTTTAGTACTTTTAAAAAATTCATTTTTCCATCTAAGTACTGCTTTAGATGCATCCCACAAACTTTGATGTCTTGTTTTTGTTCCCTTTTGAAAACTCCTCCTTTGATCCATATCTTTAGAATTATGTTGTTCAGTTTCTAAATATTGGAATTCCAGGTATCTTTATATTATCGATTTCTTCTTCATTCCATGTGGTCAGAGAAATATTTTGTACTATTTGTATTCTTTTAAATTTATCGAGACTTGATTCACAGCCCAGCCTGCGGCTTATCTCGGTAAGGCCCCGGGTGCACTTGAAAAGAGTGTGTGCGCTGCTGCTGTTGGGCGGGGCGTTCTATACAAGTTGGTTGCTCATGTTGTCTTGTATATCCTCATGGATTTTTCAGATATTCAGTTCTTTAAATATTTTTTCCTATCCCTCCTCTCCCACCTTTTGTCCCTTTCCTTTTGTTTCTGTACTGTGTGCGCGCGCACTGGTGTTTCCTTTTAGTAGTTCCTATTTTTGTCTTCCAGTTTACTAATCTTTTTTTCTGTAATGTTTTATCGTGTGTAATGCCAGCCAGTATATTTTTCATCTCAGTGTATTTTTCATCACAATGAGACCACCCTAGGACTTTTTAATATCCTCCGTATCTCTACTTAGCATGTTCCCCTACCTTTTTAAATGTATGAAGTATATGTAAAATGCTTTAATGTCCTTGTTCTGTAATTCTACCATCTGTGTCATTTTCTGAGTTTATTTCTGTTGACTGGTTTTTTTTATTACAGGATTGTAGTTTCCTGCTTCTTTGTACATCTGGTAATTTTTGTATCCCAGGCATTTTGAAATTTAAATTTCTAGGTACCAGAAAGATACATACTGTAATGTATGTATAATATGTATAACATACATTATCCATATAAGGAGTGAAGCACATTTGAATCGCCTCCCTCCCCTTTCTGTGTATTTTATGTATATTTTTGTGGGGTACAACTATATTACTTGGAAGCATTGTGATCCTTTCCAAACTTGCTTGTAAAGTTTTGTTTGGCAGAATCAGCTCAGCCTTTAGTTTAGGGCTGATTTGACCCCACACTGAACCCAATAACCTTCCAACTCTTCCAGGTGCCCCAGCTATTACCCTTCCACTCTGGCTGTTGGGAAGCGAACTATTCCCAGCCCGGAGTGAGCTCCAGCAATCAACCCACCTGCTTCTTTCCAGTGGTTCTTTACTGGGCCTCAGGCAGTTTCTCCGGCATTTGCTGATCATATTCAGTGGGACTTGGGAGGGGCCCTTCCCCTGCAGCACACCGTGCTGTGAATCCTAGCTGACTAGGCCTCCTAGAATTTATTCTCCATTGTGTAGGTGCCTCGGTATTGTTGTTTCCTCACCTTGAAGGGACCGAAGAGCAGTGAGTTCCCCTCCCTGCTGCCACAGCCTGTAGATTTCGCCCTTCAGGCAGGAAACTGAGGCAACTGGAGAGCTGTGTTTCTTTTTTCAGACATCTTTGTCCTGCGTTCCTCTTTTCCATTGTCTAGAAACCACCTTTTCAAACATTAGGGGAAACCCAACCCTTGTTGCTCTATCACATCCCGAAGTGGAAATGGCTTGTTGGACTTTGAAAGTCTTACAGATGTTTCTGTTCATGAAGCAATAAGCACCTCCTGAGGCAGGCCCTGACCCCTTGGACTGGGGAATACAACCTTGCCTTACCCCGCCCCGCGCCACTTGCAGTCAGGAAATCCTGCATTCACAGTGCACAACCAGTTGTCACTTGCATTTTAGTTTTTACACAACTGACCAGGACAGAGAATACCACTCCCATGACTTTTATAAGACTCCTACTATCTCAAAAGCTGTTGCTAACATCTTTAAAGCTATTATAAATTAATTTCACTAAAAAAAAGTGAAGGGGAAATGTAATACTTGAGGCATAAATACTTGGAAGAAAAGTCAAGACATCCATCTTGGGTTGGAAGCAGTAGCTGATGAGCTGAAGCTCCCTGCCCTGCTTTCAGAGAGCTCTCTCCCAGGATGCACAGCAGTCGGATGATTCCCCAGCAGGCAACCCAGGGCACGGCCTGGTTAGCCCTGGTTCCTGCTGCTGGCCCTGACCTACTGCTGGCGCGTGGCACAGAGAGTACGGGTAGGAGTGAAGAGCATCCGAACTGCCCACCCTCCTCGTTGTGTTAGAAAATACAAAACCACTTTGCTACCTTGGTGAGCCACCCACTAAAATGTCTGCACCGTGCTAGCCTTCCAGGTGCCTCGCAGTGTCCCGGGAAGCCAGGACAGGGCCTGCAGCTCCGCACGTGGCCGTCTGCTTTGCTTTAAACTGCGGGTGGGTCTTACCAAGGAACTCTTGCTTTGAAAGCTGGAAGGATATTTCTGAGCTTAGGAAAGCAAGGAAGTACTCAATTTGAATCCTTGAGTGGTCGCGATGTCATAAATGTGTTGAAGTCTTAGGGGGGCAATGAAGGAAATCAGAGGACAGTGGTTTCCTTTCACTTTGAGAATGACTTCTGCACTTTGGGAAGAATCCTGTGTTTTTATGAGAATGGGGAAACACAATCAGGATCTTGAAGCCATGTGAGACATACCAGCCACTTCAGTGTGACTGAGACAGGAAGACTGTTAGCTAAGGAAAAAGGATGAAGCTTATTAGCACATAAAAAAAAAAAAAAAAACACACACACAAGGAATCTTCGAACACTAAAATCTGAGTTGACCTACTAGAAAAGTCACTTTTTGCATGTTAATTCAAAACCTTGGCTTTTGGTTAAGGAGGCCTGGTTCTGTGACCTGGAACTTTCACAAGCCCTTTCCCCGTCAACACTATTTGCTAGTGGTAAATAGTGGCTAATGCCACGTGCCCCTCATAATATGTATAATGGTGTTACTATATACTGTAGTATCATTTGAACTGTGCCTCGCCATTAGTGGGGATTTTTCCACTCACTGATTTTACATCAGACACTGAGTTAAGATGCCACACCTCTCCTGCAGATGAGGACACGGGGTAGTTTCAGAATCAAGAAAGGTTAAGTGACTTGCCCAGTGTCTAAGTGCAAGGACCCAGGCTAAAAAAATAAATAAAATGACTTCAAATTTCAGATTCTGTGTTCTTTCTGCTAGAAGAGGCTGCCCCTGTCCAGGACCAGTGGGAGGTGCTGACCCAGTCCTCAAGCTGATGCTTTATGATTGTTTTTTTTTTCCCCTCACTCCGCACATGCTGTACCAAGTTGTGTCTGCATATAGCTTAGTGGTAAGTTTCCCCACAAAGGCCACAGGGTCTAGAACGTGGGACAGGCCGGCCTGGCATCTGGAGAGGTTAGGAGGATGCTTGCTGGTTGTGGTCTTCTGTTTCCCCATTACTGCCTGGTATCATGTGGTACTTAACTTCGCTAACTACACTTTTGCAAAAAAGCAGCAGAAGTCAATTCAGTTCATATAGAGAAGGGCAAACATTGCTAAGAACTGTTTTTGGGGACTGGTCGTCATAGCTTACCCCTGCGAGGGTGCCCGACTTTACAGTGTCAGCTTAGTCGTTAAAAGCAGCAGCCTGGGGCTTCAGGCTTTCAGGCCACTGCAGAGGTTGTAACAACTGCTTGCTGAGATGGCTTATAGAGTGTTTAATGGCTAAGCCTTCAACACAGAGTTTGTTAAACCACAGATTAAATAGTAATAATTTTTCCTGTGACCAAACCATTGAAGGAAAGTAACACTAATTTGTTTCCTTAAAAAATGAAATACAAAAAACATTTATTAACTGGCCTGGTATCTTCTACACTGATTTCCAACCTGCCCACCTTTTCCAGATTGAACCAAATCAGAAATTTAAACTAAATAATTATATATTATTCATGTTCTAGCACACTAACTTTACGTCTATTCCTCAGTCTTCCAAACTCAACCCCAGCTGGCTTTGCTAAAGCACACGTAAAGATGTTCAAGGACGCGCAGGAGAACTGGACGGGCTCTCTCATACCTCAAGTGTAGTTATGGGAAGTCTGAATGCTTTTCAGCTACATTTAGGTCTTAGTTGTTTCCAGACGGTCGCATACAGGGTTTGATGACTTCTGTAAAACATACTAGACTTAAATATTTTACAGTGAATGCCCCCCCTGCCCCCTACCTTTCCTTTTGAGACAGCGATAGATAATATTCCTATTCAACTTTGTGCAACCTGGCACAGTAGGCATATAAATTGATTTTTTAGAAATATTTTATTTATTTTTAGAGAGGGGAAAGGGAGAATGAGAAAAACATCAATGCTCAAGAGAGACACAGATTGGTTGTCTCCCGCACACCCCCAACCAGGGGCCTGGTCTGCAACCCGAGCATGTGACCTGATGGGGAACTGAACCAGTGACCTTTTGGTTTATGGGGCAGTGCCCGACCAACTGAGCCACACCAGCCAGGACTATACAATTGTTTTTGATATGACCAAAATTATATAGAAAAAAGATAAGTACACCAATATTTTAAAGTCTTTTTTTTTTTTTTTAACTTTTCACAAAGGATTTGCTGTCAGCCTTCAAGTCATCTTGTCCAACCCAAAAGCTGTATTTAAACGCCGTGGATCCCAGCCAGGGATGCAAGAATCTGACTTTCTAAAACAGATAACAACAGTTGAAGAACTGGAGCCGAAAGCAAATAACTGCACCAAGGTATCATTTCACATGTGCTGCTTGATCTTGTTGAGTGTTAGCATTAAGAGTCTGGCTACCCAAAAGGTTTCCCTCGCCTCCCTTTAGGTTCTTGTGTGGCACACTCGGACAGAGAAGGTTAATCTGGCCAACGAGCCAAAGTACCGCCTGGACACAGTGAAGATTGAGGTATAAATGGAAGCAGCAGCAGATGCAGTTTGCCTGGCCGACGATGTGGAAGAGGGCGATTGGAGGTTAGGCTACAGAGCATTCAGGTATTATTCATTTCACTTCAGTACAACAGCCTTTATTGACACCTGGTGGACATCTGGTTAAACAGAGCTTGTCAGTTAACGTAAGCTAGTCGGATGGTATAAAATGTGTTTGTCTTCACTCGTTCTACATGTTTTCTCTGTAACTAAACTGGAAGGTCTTTGTACAGTACAGCTAATGACACTGCAGGTAGCATTCTGAGTATCTTATATACTTTTCTTTTTTTCCCCATTTGGCCTTATAATTGGTAGAACCGAACAGGTTTTAGAAACGGATGACAAGTTTTTTGTCAATTAAGTTTTGTCCCCAATTCCTGACTTTGCAACATTAAGTAATTTATGTAAGGTTGGTGGCAGTATACATTGTAGGAAATAAAACCCACAAATAAAAGGTCTGTGGATTCATCTATTTAATATAGGGATAGAACATTTGTCAATACTAGGCACCATAAAATGTAAACACAATTACTGTCATAAACCTGGATATACCTTCAAGGATTGAAAGTGGCTTTGTTTAATTACCCTGTTTGCATATAGTGCAGAGAAAGGTCTTCATGTTAGCACTACGTACATAAGAGATCCAAATTACAAGAGGCAGACAAAATTTGAATTCTTTATATATTTGCTAAACTAAGTTTTATAGTAACATCCAGGTTTATCTTCCTTTCACTAACCACATTCCCTGTTAAGCACATCATAACAACAGCACAGTGAAGTAAATGATGAAATAAAAGAATTTTGATACACTAGAAAACAGTGCTCAGTGATACATTTACATTCTATTTATATGATTAAACATTTGATCATACAGTACCTTCCTACGAGATTACTGGCTAATTTGGGGGTGGGGTTTATACTGTTAGATGTATTACTAACATGATAACTATTTCCCTTATATGCAAACATTAGAGCTATAATTTTATTGAGAGTAAAACTGATTTTGCAAGTTGAGCAGCTTCTCAAATATGGTTTATGAAGTTATGGGAAATATGAGCAAAGCTGCCCTGGACATAAAATGGTTTCTCAACCTGCTTTTCACCACATCAAATTTAATCAGTACAAACCAACACAGTCAATCAGATAATTCTTAATGTGAACAAATGGGGAAAAAGAAAAAATATATATGTACATGAATAAACAGGGGCACTGGATGCATTTTAGCAAGGAATGTCAGGTGGTAGTTCCGGATGAAACGCGCGTTGCGGTCTTCATTTCCACAGCTGTGTACTGAGAGTCTGACCCGAGGAGCTCCCAGACCATCCGGCGGTGGTGCTGGGGGGCTGGCCGAAACCCGCCGCGGGGTTCGCGCTGCCGATACTCATGCCGGCCATCTGCTGATTCATCTGTGAAACAGAGAAAGGGCTTAGTTTAAGAAGCTTACTTCACTTTATTTTTTTATTAGTATTTTTAAATTAAAAAAATTTTATTGTTCAATTACAGTTGTCCCCAAGCTTACTTCACTTTTTATTTTTGTTTCTTTGGTCACAGTTAGACATTTTTAATAGTTACCCTATTTTATTAGAAGCAGACCACACAATTATTTCCCTGCTGAAAACAAACATCTACTGTTCCTCTCCTGTTCATTTCCTTCCAACTTTTTAGCACTGTCCAAAAAGTGAGCTCAATCATATTTATTCATTTTCTATACTCTAATTTTTTGTCCCCGAAGGATTAACAACTGAAAAGTGCCAAAGCAATCCTTGCATTTGTATCTGGGTATATGGTTGAGTCCACTATTCTAAATTCCAACTATACTAGTGCTTTAACTACTAAGACTAAGGAAATTTTAGAAAGTAAACTATTCCAAAATTATAAATTGTATATCATAGCTATTCTGCCTTTATCAAAATCTTAATGGCTCTATATACTTTCTAAATTATTAAAGAAAAGGTCACAAAGGATACATTTTTCATTTGTCTAACCACATACTTCTGAAGTGTTCACTGTATGACAAGGTATAAGATTTTATATATTTTTCTTCCATAAGAAAGTCATGTATGAATGTAAGCATCTTAACCTTTTCCCTGTGGTTCTCTTACCTCTAAGACTGATGACAGGTAAAGGAAAAGCAAGAGGATTGACTACAAAGTACAGAGTGGATTCAAAACCTATGCTCAGGTTTGGATTGTCTTAATAAAGTTTAAAGTTGCAATTTTTCAGACACTAGTGTTAATCAACATCACTAATAAGAACTAAGTGTGGCAGGGGCAGATCACTTACGATACGGACTAAAGGATGTTTTAACCACCCTCCCACTTGCCAACAGAACCCACGCAGGGAGTGCTGGAGAACAGCCTTCAGCTCGCCTGGAAGGGAGGGCCAATGTATCTCCTTACTGGTTCATCCAGCACTGTAACCTAGCTAGGTGTGCTTCAGCATTCTGGCTCCACAAAAGCTGTTACTGCCATGTGGTCCTTAGAATTTTTGAGATTCTTACAGAGTACAGACCAATTAATACAAGATATTCATTTAAATAGCGAGAGTAAAAATAACCTGGGGCATTCATAGTATATACAGTTGATTTTGCTCATGTTGGTTAGAAATCACTATAGACTATTCCTTGAATGCTCCCAAGGTAGAACCAGCTGAGCAGGAGCCAAGGTCACCAAAATGCTCCAGAAACATCAATAAGAAGTGTAAAGGGAAGAGGAGTGGGACCATAAACCCAAGTCTAAGGACTTTCTATGGGGCCAGAGAGAAGTTAGAAGAAAGAACCTAAAATAGAAACGGGATGGAAGGAGATAGTACCAACATGTCCTCTCTTGCCTCTAAACTTAGGTAGAAACAGGATAATATGGACTTGTTCATATCTCATGGGAATCCTTGAATTAGTGGGTACTTTTAAAAAATATAAACCTAATTATAGGATAAGTAAAAAGGAAATAGAACTTCACAAAGGTTTTTGAACAAAAAGATTTTTTTTATAAATCCATGAACAGTAGCTATGTGACCTGGCAAACCACCTAGCTTCCTCACAAAACAGTGTTTGAGACTATGGGACTAGATGTTTTTCTAATTTGTGAAAGCTACAGCTCCTTCCTACCCCACCAAATTAATGAAGACAGGTTGGGAGGTCTAAGTAGACTATAAAGACGCCTCTCCAGGGAGCTGGGTTAGAGCTTGCTGCTAATTTCAAAGGCAGCAGACAGAGAGTCTCTTAAAATACCCAAGATAATTTCTAGCTGTTACAACCAGATTAGGGATATTCACCATTAATGCTATTATAATCTGAAATGAAAAAATGCTTAACATTTCTGTACAAAACACTCTAAACATAGGGACAATGACAGGTCATTTATCTGTTTGATATAACTTCATTATCCCTACTTAATTCTTTCTGCCAGACTGTTAGATTTAAATGCAAATTAAACCATTTAGAAGGTAGTCTTGTTTCTCTGATTTTGGATAAGTTGGAGAGTTAATGACCCTTACCTGCGACAGGTTCCACTGGGGCTGTTGAGCTTGCGGCAGGCCAAACTTACTCTGGGCTGCACCCATCTGTCCTACCATTCCTCCTTGGGGGGCAATCACATTTTGAGGCAGTGGCATCACACCAGTTTGTGCATTTCCCACAAACCCATTAGGTATGGGCACGCCCACCATCATGCTTGGACTCTGTCCCATCACATTTCCCATAAGGCCAGGAGCTGCAGGCACAGGTACGCCCATTGATGGAAAACCTTGAAATGTAGTTGGTGCTTGTGAGGTAAATGGTATATTTGTGGGTCCCATAAATACACCTGCATCATAAGAACCATGAAAAGAAAATGAATCCAGAGAACAGGGCTATTGTATACAGCTGCACCCACCTGTATAGTAACAGCAAAAATTCTAATTTTGGTTCGGCTACTCCTACTGCTCAGACCAACTCACACCCTCCTATCTCAGAGCTGGTTAGTTCCAGAATGCAGACAAATCAGTTATGAACCTGAGCAATTTTAATCAAAGGACATACACCCTATAATAGAATATCTTATGATAAAATATCCACTGTGAGTGAAGACCAAACTGCATCGCATGAGGTGACAAGCCGTTCTGCTGACTTGCACCGCTGGTCTCCACGCCCAGGTACTCAGGGGCGTGTTCTCTGTGTCTGGCTTTAAGGGAAACAGTTGGGATGTCAAATTTCAGCTCAGACATCAAATGAAGCTCATTATTTTAAAAGAGAGAGTCTGACAAATTAAAAATGTAAACAACAAATTTTACCGTGCTAGTATTTCATTATAATTATTTTTAAAACTCAAATCTTTTTTGGAGTTCACGTGATAATTCAGACTGCTTACTGTTTACTTGCAGAAAAAAATACCATACTGTACACAGCTATAAACTTCATGGAAATCAAACTTACATAATTCTTCAAAGATAATTCATGTCTTCCTTTAATAAGCTTGTGAAACAATATTTTAAGTGATATGTGAACAGCTTGTTAATTCTAAATGAATAAAGTTTTGTGAATCCTGTACCTGCTTTTTAATTCTAACACTTCATTCATTTAGTTTTATAGTTGTGTAAATTACAAAAACAAAGTACCCATTACCAAAAAATGGGGAGGAAATATAATTGATACTATTATAACCACAAGGATCTTCTAGCAACGTCACCACTATTCCCTGAAAGCGGAGTCACAATGAATTACCAGGGGTGCTCTGCTGCTGAATGGTCCCTGCACTGTACAGAGATAAGATGGAGTCTTTGGAGAGCTGTTTCTTCGCCACCTCTTCTGACTTTGTTGTTTGATCAGTGAAGAGATCCAGATCCCCAGATGTTACTGTAGACACAGTGGCAGCTGCTGGTGCAGTGGACGTCCCCTGAGACAAACACTAAAACATGTTGAATCCTCCATGCTAAAACATAGCTCATCCATTACTTTAAATCCAAGTAAAGTTATGAAATTAGAAATTCAACAGTTGTAGAAGGTAAAACAGAGACATTACAGATCATTCACAGCCCGCAAAAAAACACTTAGGATGATAAAGGTACAATGTTTCCTATTTTGAATGTATTAATGTAGAAGAGGTAGATGGAAAC